TTGTAAGGAGTTTTAATTTTATTTCTCTTCTAAAGGAATTTGTTTTTTTCCCTTTCCACAAAAGAAAAAAAAATATAAAATTACGACTGAATTTGCTTTTTCTACATTTATATTCTCGAATCCTATACATTATTTCATACATTTTTTCTAAAGAAAAACTGTGTGCATAGGGAGTCGCGATAAATCTCAACTTGTCCACTTTTGTCTTCCACAAAAGTCCAGCCGATCGACAAATAATGCGACGAACAAAGCGCCGGTCGGACCATTTGAATAACGGATATGTGAATCTGCATGGCGCGGGTCGCATTTGCTATTTCACAAATCAATGCGTCCGGAAGGACCACTGGCAAATAATCATATATCACGCGCCGCCGAGAGGCCACCTTTCACTTTTCCCCCAGAGCTTTTTCTCTCTCTGGCTGGCTGGTATGATTTCATTCCGAATTCTTTCTCCGCCGCACACATATTTGCATAGCAATCTGATTTGGTTTGTGGAAAAGTTTCTCCCGGTGGAAAATTCTTGTCCCCCAGGATTTCCTTTCACAATAACCACTGTGCCGCCGCCGCCGACTGACTGACCACAGCATTTGCCGGTCGCATGTGCAGCAATTTGCACTGTTTAACATTTGAATACGAGCAGACACGCCGGCGACGTGCATTTCGCGACTGAATTGACAATGAGAAAATCCACAAAATGAAAAAGGAGAGCTCAAAGCTTAATTTAAAATCATTCCAAGTAATACAATTTTATTTTATAAGATACTTTGAAAATTTTAAATTATTTGAATTGGACTATTATTTCTTTTATACAAACAATATTTGGGTTTCTTGTATTATAAGTAGATTTCAGAAATTTGAACAAAATTATAGGTTTTTAGAGAACTAAATTAGAGTAAAAGCAGACTTAAAATTGGCAAAATGAGGGAATTTTAAAGGAAATGAAAGAGATTTTTTTCACAATTGGAAATTATTTTGCAATTTTCTAAAACTTTCTCAAAACCCAGATAATGAAATAATTTTGGCTATTCTATGGGCTGAAAATTGTCTAAAAAATAAATGTAATTAAGAAAACTATAGCTTAAGGTAACTAAAAGGCCATTTTTAATCTCCTTTTTTTACGTCAAAAAATTAAACAAATAATTATAATAAAATTGAATAAAACTTATTAAATTTAGTAGAAACTATCCATTTTTCACTAATTTTTAACACGAATTTCAGTTTATGAAAGCAATTTAAAATGTTATTATGAAAAAGGTTGTTGTCTATTTCTCAGCTTTTCGCTTTTCCTCCTTCTTGGTGAATGACGTTCGTGCTTGAAACGAAAACAGCAGTACAAAAAGTGAGCACAACAAACTCAAAACTGTCATCTCAAATAATCACCCACGAATGCAAATCAGTTTCCTTCTTGTCTATTCGCCTCTCCGAAAAACTTAAAATCGGTGATTGACAAAAATATCCTCTCGGAAAGACAATTTAAAAGTTTTTCCCGAAAATTATTGGACTCGAGAAAGGGTTGCTACCTGCAATTTGAATGGAAATTGGCGGTTTTTTATACTTTCGCCGGTGACACGTAATTTTTCGGCGAAACTCGAGAATCGCCTGCCGCTCGATAATAAATAAGAAGTCGTAACGCGCGTCATTAAATAATAACTCATAATGCTTCCTGTCGGGTTACACGCGTATTTTTACGACTATACTTTTCTGCTTTTTGTATACCTTGTGCAGTATACGGCGGGGCGGCGAGTGGCAATCTCCAAGATTTCCCCCTTTTTATGTAAGATGTTTTATTACGATGTTTTGATGCGCCTTTTACAACGCGCTCTCTGTAATCTATGGCTCTCGCCGAGGTACTTAACATAATCAAGTGTCCCGTTTCCGCTGTTGTACGCCCCCGTGTGAGCGGTGCATCATATTTACGGCCACCCTGCTGCAAAATCGACGTCGCAGAAAAAGAATAAGAAAGAAATACGTTCGCTCGCCCCAGTATAATTTAAAGCCGACTTTTGACCCGGTCAGAAAAAGTTTTCCACGCAGCAAGATGAATTTTCGCCGCCCTGCCGGCACGTGACATTAACGTCGAGATTTTCATTTTCCATTATTCAAAACCGACGTGCGGCCAACAACAAACCGCCACGCTTCTTTCCTTTGCAATAGAGAGAGAGAGAGAGAAGGGAAAATGAAAAAGGCCAGAGAAGAAGGACAGAATTTGATACATACACAATACGCGTCCCCTGATGGAAAATTGTGTATAGCTAGGGACACACAAGTGAGCATGGCGTACGTGTTTTTTCTTTTTTACTCTGCACAAGTAATCAAACTTTTCCTGTTCTCCTTTTATCATTTTATTTATGTGGCGACAGAGATAAAAACTATTTTTTTGTGCGTAGTAAAAAAAAAAGTGAAAAAGAACAAACACATACTCATTTTACTACTTTGATTTCAAATAATTTTTTTTTTTTAATAAACAGAAATGGTTTTAGGTTCAAATTAATTAATATTTCTCAGAACCTCATTTAAAGATATGAAATTCCCATTTTATATTTATTGCTTTGCTAATTTTGGGGAGCACTGATTGCGAGTCTCAAGACTAATTTCACAGACAAGCCCCTCTTCCCTTTCCCCAAACATCCACCAAATCTGTGTTTTCCGGCGCCAAAAAATACACAAAATAATCCGTGTCTGTCGACTGCGTTTTCTCATTAAAGGCTTAGCCCCGGTGTAATTATTTACAAATCATTTTTCGCCGCGCCCGCGACACAAGAAAGAAGCTGCACGTTGGCGCTCGCGTCCCGGCTTAATTGCATTTTAAACTGCAAAGTCATTAAGATAATCGCGCGCAGACTTAAATTTCGTACATATAATTTCGGGCACTTCCGCACCGGACGGATTTCGCCGCAGATTAAATATTCTCGACGCAATTAGAAACGAAAAGTAAACACGGAATTATTTTCCCTCGCTGCTTGCTCGCCCGACCAGAGACAGCGAACTACAAGTTGATCGCGAAATCCTGACAAATTGCCGGCGATAAGTTACCATATAGAAATTTATTGCTGCCCCCGAACGAAAAGCAGCTAAATCTTGGCGTTTGACTGATAAAAAGTTTCTTCGCTCTCAAGGGTGATGTAGAAACACACACGGGCTCGGCAGACAAACCTTTCCAGTTGGAACAAGAGAGGAAATTTTTTTATTCTGAAAAGAGATTTGGACAAAATTTATAAATTTATAACTGTTTTGTAAGATCTATGAAAATTTAAAATTATTTAATTAAATTATTTAAAAGTAAAAATCTCTAGCATAGCAAAAAAACTAAATTGGTATGCTGATGAAACAGGTTCTAATTTTCATTCCATTTAAAATTAATTCTGCTAATTCATGTTTGCGAAAATATTAACATAAAAATTTAAAATTTGTTATATTATACATTATACATGATGTTTTTATATTTCTTTTTCTCAATTAAAGACCAGATAATTACTTTATAATTTTTTTACCATTTTAGTTTATATTTCTTATTGGTTCAGACATTTTATGGACATTTTCTAGATAATTTTTTTTATATAGAGAGGTTTCTTTTTTTATAAATTGTTCTAAAATTCCTATCAAATTCATAAGATCATCTCTCAGGAAATTAGTAAGATTCGGTGGATAGATTTACTTCTGCATATATTCTAAAACTTTTCATTAAATATTTAAAATAAAATATTTTATAATTATTAATCAGAGCCATTTTATTTTTCGTTTCCATTTTACTATGTAATTTGAGATACTTGCAGACGTGAAGGCAGAACATGTGTGCCAAAATCTGAGCTCTCCTCCGCCTTCCTTGCTCCCCATCCGTAGCTCACATTCTCCCAAGGTGCCATTCTCACCCGAAATTTTCATTTCCGCGATTTCCCATCAGCGGTGCCGCGCCCCCGCTGCTCCATTCAACCCTGCCGATAAAGAACAATTTTAAATTAATCGCACTGCTTCTTGTTCTCGTCTCTCTCTCCTGCATGAGCGAAAGGGGTGCGAGACGAGAGAGATGGTCCGTTGCGAGAGAGGAGGAGGTGGGCCGCCGGGTGGTTTTTGAGTTAAAGAGAGCATCAGCCATTAGTTTAATTAACAGAAAAGCATTGTCTCTTTTCCCTTTTCTCTCTTTGGCGCGCGCGTGCCTCCCCGAGGCACCGACGACGACTCTCGCGTACAAAAGCTCACTCTCGGCTGGTATTTACGCAGATTTAAATTCGCGTGCGCCATCAGCACAGCGGCAGGAAACAGCGAGCAGATTCATATCTTTTCTTTGTGCACGCGCAAATTACGCGAGAGAGAGCCTTTGACTTTTTCCATCAACTTTACAGTCGCGGCATCAAAAGGCGGTGGAATATTGGAAGAGAGAGAGACTTGATTGGCCCCTCGGCGATTATTTCAATTCAATTATTACTTTTCCAGCATGATAAAAAATTGCATAAAATCCATAAAATTGATTAATATTGGCAAGCACCTCAGGCATTTATTTCAATTTTCGTACAATAATTTTATTTTGAAGGATGTGGGAAATTTTATATATTCCCAGCCAAAAATGCCATGCTGGCTGGATAGGGGGCCAGCGCCGGCCTGCCATGACACGCCAGCGCGGGCCAGCCAGCAATGGTACGCACCGAACTTTGCAGGCCGACCCAGCACTGGGCCGACGCCGGCTCCAGCCATGGCACCACGCTGGCTAGCCATAATGCAACCGACATGGCTCAAAATGGAATAGCCATTCACACTTTTTGCTTTTTTTATTGTTAATAATTTTAATTTTTTTAATTTCATAATTTGGGTAATATTAAAAAAAATATTATATTATAAATCAAATGACATATTTATTCAGGAAAAATAATGTTTTTATTATTCAAACTTAAATTACACAATAATATCAGTCAGAAGTCAAGAATATTTGTTTATGTTGAGCATTGAATATTTTGATATTTTACAATAATAATTCAAATTTTAAACCAAACACAAAAGGATTAAAGCTTAATGGAACCAACAACCAACTTTTTACTAAATTTCCATATTGTTTGAAAAACTCATTTCACCAAATTTTATATAAATCAAGTATATAAGTGAATTTTATTTGACAAATTTATCAGAATATCTTATATAATAATTTATAATATAAATTTATAGATCGATCTAAAAATTATTTTCCTAATAAAATCGCATTCTACCTAATTGATGAAGCACATTATCCACAAAGCAGGGCTGATGTCGATACCGCTGATGTCTAAGGTGTTCTTCAAAAGGTTCTGAAACAGTAAAATTTTATAATTAAAATTGCGAATTAAATAGCAAAAAAATCTCGATTGTTATATTAATTAATAAAATTATTCATTAATACCAAAATAATTTAAAAATGGAATTAAATTTTTCCACGACGTAAACTTATTTATTGTGTAAGATTTTTTTTTAATATTTTGAGAAACAAAATTGATTCATTACCTCTTTTTATTTTAACAAACAGGGGATGAGCAGTGGTTATATATTCCGCGTTGCTGGGTCTCCTCGGCAAAATTTGACTCCTAGGATTTTTTTTCTGAAATGCAAATTAATAAATAAAATTAATAATCGGAAAAACGCAGATTGAATGAATATTAAATTAATTTAGGCGCAGTTTAGGCAAAGAAACGCCCTTCAAGCATGCTTCGTATATGTGAGAGATGTTTGTTGTTGGCGTCAAAATGATGCTACGCTAAGTTATGCCAGAATTAAATCATTTTTAAACTTACCATTTTTGTTAATCGGTGACCGAACTTGATCCCAGCATCGGCGAACAAAATTTTTCCAGAAGTGTTGCAATTTAAGGGCTTAAATTATGAAAAAATGCGGAGCTGATAAACGTGGTCAGGTCTCGCGTCCGACATGTTTGTTGTTATTGCCCTGACGCCGCTGTGGGAGAAGCGGCGCATTGCCTGAAATCTCTCTTCTGCGCATATGCGCATGCTAGAAAGTCACGCACGCAGTGTATATGGCTGGCCGCAACGCAGCCACCGCACAGCCAGGGTGGTATAACTTTTTCCTTCCAACCGATCTTAAACGCGTTTATATCATGCAAAACAAACTTACTACATTAAATTACATTTTGAAAATTCCCTAACATAAATAAAAGAATATTGAAGTGACTGAACTTGCGTGCGTGAATTACTTATATTTTGTAGATTAAGAGCAATTAAAATTATATGAAGAAAATCTTAAAATTGTACGCAGTCCAAATTAAAAATTTTTAATATATTTATATATTTTGTAAAGGGTGTAAATAAATCATAAAGTTAAACTGAGCTAAACAAATAATTTAAATTAAATAAAACCATAAAAAAGATGTTTTAGATATTTTAAATAAAAAATATTAAAAAATAAAATAAAGAAAAATGTAAAAGGAAAACATCTAGACTAAATGACTTGTTTATTTTATTTTATAAAATTTAATGATAATTTAAATAATTATGATATATTAAAAGCGTTGAACAATATTGGCACCCATTGACAATGCCATTAATGCTCAATCACGGCTAGCCAGCGTTCGGACTTAGAATATGGCAGGGATCATTTTTTCTCTCCTTCTGAGAGCCACCGCGGTGGCTGCCTGCTGGCCGCTCTCGAATTGCCAGCACTTTAGCCAGCAGCCAGCAGCGCGCCCTCGCTGCCAGTACCGGCCCTGCACTGGGCCACCATGGCATTTTTGACTGGGTTAATTAGAAACATTTCAATTGTAAAGAAGTTTGTTTCATTCACTATTACATAATTTAAAATGCATCAGGTTTTCATTTTAAAACTTTGAAAATTAAATTGTATTTTTGTTTAACAAGAAATTAATAGCAGAGAATAAATTCAAAAAATGGATAAGAAATATTTATACTCTCATTAAAGTTGTCTCTTTTTCTTGCAAGAAAAGACTTGATTTTTTGAAAATTTGTTTTGAAGATAAAGCCATTTTTATCAAGCTAATTTCAGTTTCAATTTCTGCATGAAACTATGGATTTTTTTTATTAATTCTCAAAATAGTCAAGGCATTTTTCAAAAGTCGCTTTTTTAAATGATACTTGATACGACTTGTGCAGTAAAGTGCATAGAATTCCCAGACATTTGAAACAGGAAACTCTTGGACCTGATATTTCAGCCCAGAATTTCAATTCGCTCTCCGCAATGCTTCATATAATATGCCCAGTTTGTTGCATGCACGTGTGGATTTGAATCTCTCTTCAGTCTCGACAGCGGCCGGTACAACGTGACGCTTTTTGTCGAATAAAAGAGGCCAGAGAGGGCACAAAGTAGCGGCTGCTCGCTCGCGGTAATATTTATTTGTAATATCGGAAGATAGAAAGAGAACGTGGTCGGAATATGTGCTCATCCCTTTTGAATACAAAGCAGCCGCACAGAGAGAGAAATAGAGGAGAGATATGTCAATGAAAATGCATGCACGCATGCATACGGCAACTTTGCGCGCGCCCCTCTTATTTATTTCAATATTACAAGGAGAGCTTTCAGTGCCTTGAATTATGCGGCAATAAAAGAAGAGTAAGTTCCTTTGTGCTGTTGTGACCGGAATACATTTTTGCCGATTTTGTAGCGAAAAAAGAGGGAATTCTCTAAACCGGATGAACGAAAGGACTACGAGGGATTTCGGGGTAAATTACGCGGCAGGCGAACCATAGGTGGCGGAACGACAATTAATTGATATTGCCGCTTTAAAGAGGCTCCCTAAACACTTGACGGTGTTGTGGGCGTGCAGTTAGGTCTTAATGTTGGCTTTAAAAAGGTACATCAAGAGACGATATATCTTTCCGAGCGGGCACAATTCCGAAATGGATGGAGAGAGGGAAGAGGACCTTTGCAAGACGCTGAAACAATGAGAGGGACGTCAAATAGTGAATAGAGAGGCACAGAAAATTGCAATGCATAATTTTATATAATTATCTTGTTTTATTCAAATATAATTAAAATTAAAACATGATTACAATTTATAATATTTAATTTTTTTATTTTAAATATACAATATATTTTTTTTAACAAATTTATTTTAATTTTAATTATTTTATTTTTATAAACAAATGTTGACTCCGATGTAAATTTTACTTTGTTAATTATAAAACAAAGTTTATTAAAATTATAATATATTTATTTTCTTACAATTAGATAAATTTATAAATTCTATAGAATCCTTTAATAGATGTCTAGATAATCAGGATAAATTTTAATGAGTTCATAAATCTGGGGTTGATGATTTATTTCAATCAATGATTGCAAACATAAAATTCGATTTTTGTCTTATAATAATATAATGCAACAGCTCATTTTTCTCAGAAATGCAAATTGTACTCACATTGGTTGAATTATTAAAACAAAAATTGTTCATGAAGTTTCCATTTTAGCAATTTTCTGTTTTTATTTTTAAAGAGGGGGGGGGGGGGTAAATAGTATTATTTAAAAAATATTTTGCTTTCCTTCTGACCAAGATGCTGTGCAGGTTGCATAGCTTGCCCTCATTTTCCCACCCACAGATAAATAATGGCAGACAAGTCCGGTGCACTTTATTAATGCACCGACTTAGCTCAAAAGTTCTCAAACTTTGCGTCCCTCTGCTCGGCAAGTGGAGCAAAGGGAGAGAAAAGCGGCAACAACGGCGGCACCTTTACCTCCGCGTTCGCTTTCTCTGCAACACCACCCGCCGCCGTCTTGTTCTTCTTCTGCTTCTCTATCTCTCATAACAAATTGCCATTGAGATTAACTAGGCTTAACCAAACTTAAGTTAGTCAATTAGCTAGTAATTTAAACTGGGCTTAAAAGTGACTTAACTTGTTGTTGGGAAGGAATGAGAGACCGGCTGCCGCGTAATATTTTAATACCTTTATGAATGTATTTACTGCCGCCCCATACTTTATTTCACCGCGAATAAGAACGTGCCGGCCGGGCCTAAGTGCCTCGAAATCTGGCGCTTAAGCGAGCCAAAATAATTAATGGCGTCATTAGCCCCGGGGTCCTGCCTAAGCTAATTGAATCTTGCAGGGAGGTGTGCAGCTGAAATGTTGAGCTTCATTTCTGAGAGACAGCGAAAAAACTTGTTTCTGGATCAAAATGTCTTGTTCAAGGAATGACTCGTCAGCAATATTTTTTCTTCATCGTGAAAGAACACAAAATTTCATGAGTGATCAAATAATTCAAATTTTGAAGCTGTTGAAATTTAAATTGGGTCCTTCCAAACTCTCGCCAAAGTATTATTTGAACTTTGAGGAAAGTTTAAATCTTAATGTGAAGAAATAGAAATTGAAACTGCGAACTGATTGAATTTCAAATTTAGGAACCAAGAGAAGCGTCTGTAGAGGTTCAAGTAATATTTTAAACACCCTGATTTGGAATTACCAAATTGCGAGCTAAGAAATTTTGTCATTTTTAATTAAACAAGAAAATTTATTTCAAGAAACAATAACGTAAATTGTAACATACTTTTTTATCTCAATTTTCATTATTTATTGTTTTTTATTCACAAATAAATATTAAGTCGCAACAGCAAAAGATTAAAAATATTTCATTTATCTCAAAGTAATTTATCTTATTTTATGGAATTGCGGTGGGATAATGTAAGAAATCGGCAGAACCGCGCTATTCCTGTCACGAAACAAAGCCAAAGACGTTGAATTTCTTGCACCCCTTGTCTCCCCAGCACCGCCGTGGGAGATCAGAAAGAGTTCTTCGGCACACAAAGGCGCTCTTCTCTCTCGCTCGCACGCAATCTAAAAGGGTGCACAGAGTTAACTAGACTGGTGCTGTGGCGAGCGACGAGTTTGTTGTGAAGAAAAGGAGCGGGCGGCCTTTGATGTTAATTAAATTTAACTTCCCTTTAATTGTAAAGAAGATGATGACGGGGCTGATGAGAGGAGAAGAGCAGAGGAAAGGCGACAGCAGCACAGACGGAAATAACGTATACACTGAATTCGGGCAAAAACCGCAGGTTCGACCTCGGGCGTCCTCGAATTCCTAATTAACCGGCTACGCATGGTGGTAGCGGATTTGCGCATATGTTGGATTAAGAGCTGATTGACATCCCCTTTGACTTGGTTATTTCAACGAATGGCAAAACAGATTGAAAGCCCGTTTTTGTCCTTGCAAAATATTTCATCAAGGGAATTTCCAGCTAATCGTTACTCATTTACGGGTAATGTATAATTTAATCTTCATGTTTCAATTCAGTTCCAAGTAAAGCCTAAATGATTGAAAGTAGGAAAATACACTTTCCATGTCAGTTTTGATAAAGTCAATAAAATAAATCAATAATTTTTTTGAAAATCAGAAGTTCAGTGGCATTGCATCCATATATTTTTTATCTCATACAAACTCATTTTATTAAGGCTTTTCTAATTGCATGATTTTAAATAAACTTTATGTTGAAATGAAAATATTATTGATTCGAGAAAACAAACGAACGAATAAGAAGTAAATAATGTCAATCTAAACTAATTCCACTTTTGCAGAACACTTGTGAAAAAAAATCATTATATTTTACTCAACCTATTTCAGTTTTCAAATTTTCACACGTATTTAAAATTAAAATAGGTGAAAATAATTATCTCTGAATTTAAAGAACCTTAAAATAATTGGATTGTGCAAAATTTGGGTGCAATTAAAAATATGTGTATCTCATTAAGTTTGAACTTTTTGACGTTTCTTCTTTTTTTATTCAACCAAACAAAAATTTTCAAATTTAGTCTTAAAAAATAATTGTTTCCAAAAGTAATCTGGCTATCCGTACAGTTCTTTGAGTTCTGTTGATTTAAATTTATCACTTTAAGGTTGGAAAACTGACAGCACGCAAAGTTCTTATTGTTGTTTATTTTTCCATTTTTAATTGTTTAATTAATTTTTTTAAACGATTTGTATACAATTTTATTATTTAAATTGTTATTAAAATATTTTTCAGCCGTTTTAAATTCTCAAGTCTGCGTTGACAGATTCAATATTTGTCAAATTAAAGCGATGTGGACCGCTTTTGAGATCCGATTGTTTCATCAAGCGGCACGTTCAGCCCATTTGTCACAATCGGCCTTCCCCAAGTCGCACCAGCCCTAGTAATCGGGGATGAAGGTCTAAAAATGTGTCCTCTCTCTGCGAGTGTGCTGCAGCCCGCGTCCTTTCTCGCTCTCTATTATTTGGATAAAGCAGGCAGGCAGGAGAAGAGCAGAGTCGTCACACAGCCCTCCGATGTTAATGTCCCCTCAGGGAAGTAAGTACAAGGATTTCGCATTAAGGAGATGTATGGCAATAACGTTAATAAGAGCAGATTTCGCCGACTACGATATGGCGTTGCTCTTGCTCTTTCCGAATATTAAGTCCGGGGGATATCTTGCTGCTCACCGCTACTTGATCGTCGCCGCGTCTGTCGTTCGTCGTCGTGTCTTGCGACGTCGCCTAATATCATAATGCGCACTACACGCGCCGCCGACAATGAGCTCGAGCAGAAGAACCCCGATCCCATTAATGGATAACCAGGGATTATTTCAATTAGCTTCCGCCTGGCCCAGACTCATTGTCGGCGACAGGGACAAGCCCTGGCCAGGTTGGTTTAAACTTGGTGTCCTGAATTGGATTATAAACTGAACCTAATTCACTAAAAACACGTGACGATGATCTGCTTTTGCCTAAAGTATATTTTTCCTCAAAATACAGAAATAATTGTCAGTTCAAACAAAACTACATTTAGCTCCTCTAGAGAGTTCATTTAAAAAAATCAAAATAATTTAAAATTCACAATTATACATTATTCAATTTTGTTTTTGACAAATTTTTTTAAATTAACATCAAATGATATAGATTTTTGGTGAATTATTTTTAAGACAATTTAAAAACGCCCAATGGGATTAATTGTTAAATTCTGAATATTGACGAAATTTCATCTCCGAACGTAAAATTCAAAGCTTCAAACCAAAGGCTGATCGACTGTTTAACTTTCCCTCTAAATTTATTTGAACTTCGAAATCAGTTAGTCCTGAATTCTAATTCTAAATCACAAAATTCTCGTAAAGAAGCAATACGCAGGAAAATAATTCGGAATTTAAAGTCATTTAAATTAGAAAAAAATGACAGTTCTGGTCTTTAAATTGAATTTCATTGAACAAAATTGTCTTTTGATTTCTTCACTTTAAGATCGATGTATTTAAATCAAAACCTTGATTTAACCTCTTATTTATTTTTTAGACCTAGAAGATTTGTAGCTATATTATTTTTTTAGACAATTCTCACTTGACGAGCCTTTGCTAATTTGGCACGTTTTGATCTCAAAGTTTACGGCTTGCTTTCAAAACTTCTTACCAGGCGAATTTGGTGTCTGTTGTTGTGACAAGCAGAGCTCCTCGCTAATTACACGCAAAAGGCGCGCGCGTGTGTCGCAAGTGGAAACTCACAGGTCGAGACCATTTAGCCAGTTTGCTTTGAGTTGCAGGCAAATTGTGTCCACGCCATTGAATATCAGCAAATTGGCTTATTCGAGGCCGGTCAGAATGGCGGCGTTGTTTTTGTTGCCAATTAGACAAACTCCTGCTCCACTGACTTGTACTTACTTGCCTAGCTAATGAGTCGGCAGGGCGAACACGTCGGAATAAATTTGCCTAGACGATGAGGAAAACTGCGTGTTATTTCAAACAAGTTGAGAGGGCAAAGGGTTCATATAGGTTTATCCAATTTTTTCCCAAATAAAATAGCCTTGTGTTGAACGAATGAAAAGAATTAATTGAAATTAAAAATAATTTTAGATTGAATGAGACTTTTATTATACATGAAATCTCTCGCCCTGAAAAATTGGTTCTAATATTTTTGACTAAATAAAATTAAGGAAAATGCTCTAATTGAGTTGTTTTTAATAGAATTATAAGTCAAATTCAAAGAATTCTGGACCATAATTAATATATTTAATAATATTATACATATTTTAAAATTATTGTAAATTTTCAAGCAAAATTCATGCCTCTCGTTTGCAAAATTTCATCCGAGTAGAGAAGGAAGCCCTACAGATGTTTGATTAAGCGCCGCCACCACGCTCTGATTTCTGATAAAATTATACACGCAGCGATGGCGGGCCGCCGAAAAACCCTTTCGTTTGCGGCGCTGTCACCCCACAGCAGCAGCAGCAGCTTTGAATTTTGACGTTTAATGTTGTGATAATTTGATAATATATTCGGTTATGTGAAAGGAATATGTAATAACGGGGGCGCCGCGCGCATTCGGATGAACCGAAAGGTCGGGAATGCATTCATAAGGGAGGCCCGTCTTATTTAGTATTCATGCCGTGAGACTAAATACATGCAGCCAGGGGTTAAACGCACGGGAGGACATTCTGGCTCGGACGGCCGCAAAATCTCTGCTCCTTGTCGGCACCACGTGCCACCGTCGAGTCGTTAATTTCCAATTCCATTATGGCGACGAAAATGCGAATGTTTGGGAATTTACAATCAAATGGCATCAGAGGGAAACGACAAAAATAGTTCAATGTTTTAAACACAGAATTATTTTAGGAAGTTTTCAAAACTCTCTTCTTTAAAAACGGCAAATATATATAAAAAAGAAAGTTAGAAGTCTGTCAAAAAAGCAAATCTTGAAGTTGAAATTTTAACTCAATATGAAATGGTAAAAAATGCTGTGGAAAAAAATACTGAAAGTTTTATTAAATTAAAATTTTTTAAGCTCACTTAAATCAGTAACAAGAAAAGCAAAAAATTTTGAAAAAAATAATGTAAAAAAAGTCCCAAATTAGAGCAGAAATTTATGAAATAATACAATATGAATGTGAATGACAAAAGTTTCTATCAATAAGATTCATTAATAATTATGAATTTTGGAGTAAAGAAATTGAAAAGTTTTTCCACACGATTTTCTCTGAGATCCCTTGCTTTTCTATTGATTTCAGGGAAGCCTACTGATTTAATTAATTTAATTTAAAATATTAGAATTTATAAAATTTATTTAATAAAAAATTCTCAATAAAATTAAGAATTGCTGTTTATATCTCTTTCTTGAAATCAACAGTTTGGTATTTCTTTTGCTTTCAGGTGAGTCCACCTATTGCTCAATCGCTGGAAAATCGGCCTCTTGTTACGCAAGGTAAGACGAGTAGATGTTTGTCCCGTTTGTTCTCCCCTTTCTTTTCCGCCCTCTCAATCCACGTAATTGCGACTCGCGAAGATCTGTGTGATCCCTTTGTCGCCGCGCGCTCGACAAAGCGAAATAAAGAAGAAGAAAAAAAATCGGCAAAGAGATCAGTCTGGCCGTCCTTTTGATTTTTCCTAAATTACTGCGCCGGGCAAGCCGACGACAAACAAGAGCTGTGGCGGGTTTGTTGAAATGCGAATCACAAAGCGGGGAGCAAACGCGCATTCATGGGAAATAATAAAAGGAGCATGATGTGCTTTGGTCATTGAGCCGCAGCATGTGAGCCACTGACCTTTTTGCCTGCCGCCCGGCCGGAGGGGCATAAAAAGGAGGACCACTCGGCAGGACCGACCGGCACAGAGGGAGGCTCGCCCGTCTCGAGGGCTCCTTTCATCTGCTTTTTGGTTTTGATTAAGTGAAAGTCGCTCGAGCAGCACTCAGAGAGGGATAAATGCTTGGAATTGTTTTTGAGAAATGGCTGGAAAATAAATTAAATTAATAGAATAGAATAAAGATACTTCAAATCTACGGGAAAAATTTAAATTTTTTATCAATTATCAAATAATTTATATTTTACTCTTTATTGTAGTCTGAGAATTCCTCATAAAAATCTTTTTAAATAAGTGAATTAAAATTATTCTTAAGTTAGAATTTGAAGAAGCAATATTATTTTTGGCAATTTTTGGAGAAAAAAATTGGAACTTTTAACCTCGTTGTTGTAAAGACTTGATTTCGCTAATGAAAATTGATAACAATAAGTTCTTGGAATCTTTTTTATTATTATTTATTAAATTATTTAATATCTTAAAAAAAGCGGTTCATTTTATAGAAAAATTTCTCCATTGCCGAAATTTAGGATTTTAGTTTCCTGTTAATTATTAATTATTTAATGCAGTTTTTTAGCATAGAAATTTCATTCCCATGCAAGGATTTTAAATTTACATTTTTTTTTGCGTCCAAATTTTAGTTTCCGAAATTATTTTCTGGGCAACTACCCAGTGGCTTTGGACTTTCTCTAGATTTTTTTGGTCACTACATTTTTCTGTTGCACTTGAGGGAGCGCAACAGAAGGAGCGAATAATCAAATCAAAAGCGCAAACACCTCTTTCTCTCTCTTTCTGTAGCTCGCCGGCGTCTTGTCTCGTTTTATTTCCTCGGCGAAACTCCAGCAGGCGCATAAAAACAGACAGCGGCCGTTTGGTTTGCTAAATTGGTCTGCTACAAGGCAAAAAATAAGCCGGTGCGCCCGCGTGCCATAATACCGGAGATGAAGTCGGCGCAGGGGTCTCTGTGTGAGCTGTTTTTATATCTCGCCAGTTACTTAACTCGCTCTCTCGTTCATGTCGAGATATAAAAAATTCCTGCGCTCCCCCGCGTCTTCTTAAGGCACACAAAGACAAAATCGCAGTCTTTTTTTTCTCTCTCACTTATTCCCTGCTCTACGGCATCACTAAGCCACCCTATAACCTCCCTTAAAGGGGATGTCTCTCGCGTTATTCATACCGATGTGTATATACACCCTCAAATCACTACAAACCCACCCCCGTCGGCAGAAAAAAGGAAATCTCGAGATTTTTGACCAGCATCTCCCGGCGCCGGTGGGCGATTGAGGGAAATTGAGCCGACGGGAGAAATCTCTGACGAGGTGAGCTGCGAAATGGTTCTTTTATGGGGGCGAATTGGTAGAAGTGAGTGGAGAGGACGGAGAGTGAGAGAAAATAATATTCACTCTTGTGTCGATTCGGGTGCGAATGGCCAATTTGCTGTTTTATCTCCGAAATAGCCTCATCAGCTCCATAAATCAAACAAAAATTCAAATCATTGATATAAAAAACGAAGGTATTATTTTGGAAATTAAAATTTCAAATAATTTCAAAACCAAATTTTTTTAATTTTTTTTAAGGGTCAAATAGGTATTGAAGAAGATGTTCGTGCGGGGAAAACGGGCGGATCCTGGTTTTTTTCTATAAGAAGTTTTAAAGCAATTGTTGTTGAATTGTAGCTTATCAAAATTTCAGATCATTTTTCATTTTTTTTCATGCTTATATTAAATTGCAGACCAGACTTCAGAAAGACAAAGTAAAACTGGTTTTACTTATGGACACTTAAGTTTGACAATAAGGAAAATAATAATAATAATAATAATAATAAGTGAATTTTATATTAAAAATTTTAGTCTACAAAATTTCTAAAAAAAATTAATTCAATAAATTAATTTTAAAATAAAAAAAATATTACCAAATTATAATAGGTAATAATTTTTTTCTTTTTGTAATAAATGTTATCTGTTAAATGAAAATATTCTTTGACAATGTCTAATATTTAATAGTTAAAAAAACTATTTTATGTGCAAATTCAATACAGTGTAATTTGCTTTTGTGATGAAAATTCGTCAAAAACCATGGGTTTGGGGACGGGAGAGAGCACAAAGTGTTTCCATTACTTTCATCAGCACCTCGCCCACCCGATCTCTTGTAATAAAGTGTTGTGGCGAAGCGTGTAAACAAACCATTTACAAGGAAGCGGCGGTTCAAAGGCACTAGCTACCGCGTTCAATCTTTTGACTTTGCACACAGAGATCTTTCCTTTTATATGCGCGCTTCTCTTTCTCTCTCACGGCTCGCTGATAATTTGTTATCACTCGAGCAGCTCCCCACTGCAAAGCCGCCGCCGCCGCCGCTTCCTTTGTTAATCAACGTGTTAACAGAAAAGTAATTAAGATAATTAGATCTTGTTTTTGTCTACTGGATACGATCCAAAAAGTATTAAAATACCCGCCCCCGTGCTTGCGCCGCTGTTACGAGGGAGGCTCTTTGAACCCTTATGGCGAACGGGCCCCAACTCGGAGCAGCTAATCATCAGGATGTGATTAGGGGCTGGAATTTCGGCATTGCAAAGCAGTCGAGAGGAAATAATTTTTGAGCCCCTCCAAGAAAATTTGAAGGAAAATTGAAATAGTTGCGGTTTTCATACGAAGCTGTTTGAAAAATACACACAAAAACATAAAAATATTAAAACTGTTGAGACGGTTTGTGGAAATGAAGAATTATTAAAAATTCATCAAAATTTATATTTCTAAATAAAATATGGAAATTTTATATTTATTTTGAGGATTGATAAATTTAAATAATCAACTGAAAATTTTAATTATTTCCAAATAATTATTTTCATCATAGTAAACTTTGAATTTTTTTTATTTTTTTTTAATGTATCAATTTCATATAATTTGTTATTTTCCTCCTTTTCCTTTAAAATGATTTAAATTAATCTCTCAAATCCTGGGTGCGATAAGTGCCCCTTGCACCATACAAAATAAATCTCCTTGTGCAGACACGCCGACGAAAAGGACACAAATTATCGAGGGCTGGCGTTCGGCCAACGCATAGTCTCTCGCACTTCTTTGCGCCCTTGTGTGTCACTTCGGCTGCTGGCAATTAGTTTTTCTCTCCACGTTCCCTCTCGAGAGCAATAGCAGACAGCCGTTGGCTCCTGGTTATGATTTCACTTTTCTCTTATTGCCAGCGCCATATATTGACTGGAAAATTATTTTGTTGCGAAACTTTTCCTAATGAAACTTGAGCAGCCACCCCGCCAACTGATCGTGAAATAAATGATCTGTAATGTGATTCGGGCGATTTATGATAAAGGGAGGAACATCCTGCCGATTGCCTCTGAGAAAAGTCAGAAATGAGAATTTAGTTTGTCTATGTGCAGACACCAAAGACTGGTGAAAATATCTTTTTTAAATTCCCTTTTTAATTCGTTCTGACATCTATTTTAAATTTAAATATACAATTGACTTTTTTAAATTATAATTTCGTATTTTTGAAGTGTTTAGAGATTTTTCATTTTACCAGAAAATAATCAAGTTTTTAATCAAATCTTCTGGTTCAAATAAAAGTAGTGAATATTATGGTTTTAAATATATAAATTAAAAAATTTAGCCAAAATATAATTTTAGTTTTTTTTTTAAATCTCAATTTTTTTTAGTTATAAGTGGAAAATTTTAGTGATACTAAATTTTCTTTATATTCACCGTTATTTACCAAAAATTTTCGTTTGACAAGCAAGCGGAAAAATGTATCAAATAACAATTTTCATAGGTTTTTCGGTGCAAATTCCATCGAGTCAGTGGCTTGATTGTTGTAGTGCAAACAAATTCCTAAAAATATATTTCATCTCTGATGCGCTCACCCTTTTGCACAAAGGGCGTGTTCACTCGAAATGAAATGTAATAACATCAGGGCAGGCTTTGTTTGAGCACGCCGCCGAGGAACGAGATTTTTCTTTTGATGTGTGAAAAGTCAGCGTTTTTCATTCCGATGACGCTCGCTGATGGGATCAAGCGTGCGTGGGGGCGAAAGGATTCTCGCTCGCACTCAATATAATACCCCGGGCCACCTGTTGCCGTGTTTGTATTTTAAAAAAGAGATAAAAAAAAAGTGGTTGCTGGTGAGCCGCCGCTCGCCTTTTTTCTCCCCTCGCGTCAGATCGGCCGTTCGCAGGCAGCGGCCGCGTCTCTCACTGATGACTCTCTTCCGCCGTCGCCCCGCCATGATTTGATTAATCTGATTTCAAGAAAAGAAAGAATATCGCAAAAAAAGCTGCAGCTGGTGAAGTTGAACACTTCGATCCGCTTTGAACCACCAGATCCACCTTTAATTAAAAAAAGACAAGAATATTAACTAAAATATAAAGCACAAAACTACCGGTATAGCTTTACTTTCTGTCTTGTATTGTTTGTTTTTTTATATAATTATTTACCGATTGGTAGAAAGAAGCAGGATGTTCATTTTGATATTCATCTATTAAATAACAATCAAATCAAAACCCATTTACGAAAAGCTAAATTAAACAACATTTTGTAAACTACTCAAAAAATAGATTCTGAAAATACCTAAAGAAAAAAATAAAGGCAAAAAATACAAAATTAAATTTAGAAATAATCTTAT